ATTTTTGATTCATAAAATCCTGCCTCCTCACAGGCATGCTGTAAAAATAAATGTACTATTTCTGTAGGGTTTACCAAATATAGGGATCAATGCTGAGAAAACCCTGTAGGAAACTCGCCTTTTTGGATATCAGGAAGCAGAAAAGCATATTCCCTGCGAACCACAAGCGGTCATAGGCTGAATGGTGAGAATCAAATGAAATGCTGACCAGGTGTTTCACTGCTTCTAGATGGTCCCTCCTGCTCAGCTGTAAAATTGATCCTGTCTTGGAAAACCTTGGTGATCTTGTAGCATCCATACAGATGACCTGATGCCCTCAGCAGGCTCCAGTTCCGGTCCTCCAGTGGCATCCATAACCCCAGAAGTGGCCAGACCAAAACGAATCAATCAAAGCAGCACAAAAATCCAGTGTTTCCTGTGCCAACATCCAAGCAATGGCATGTTACAGAGATCTAGCTTATTAGTCAGCTGAACTCTGCCCTAGGACCCAGAAGGCAGAAGTGGTGGGTTTCTGATGGAGCATAAGAAGCTATTCCTCCTGCCCTCTCCTTCCAGGGAGGATGTGGATATAGCAGTAGATTTCACCAGAAATACAATAAATAAACTCACCATACATACATATACATATATATACATATACATGTATATACATATATATATACACACATATATATGTAAAGGCTTTGGAAAAGTTTGTAAAAGACATGAGAGGTACACAGAGCATCCATCTGCAAAACACTAGTAAGAAGGTGTTTCACAAACAGAATATAGTCACAGTGAAATGATTTTCCTAATGCTAGAAACAACCAGCAAATGATCCTCATGGAAAAAAAGCAGGAGTCTAAATATTTTTGAAACTGGTCTAAATATTTATTCTTTTTCTAATAGGAAATTATTTTACTTCCCTGGCTCTCAAGCCATTATCTGTACCAAGCCCATTTGCACAGGTTTATCCAATTTTTCAGCCATTCCCTCATAAAGCCTTTATCTCTGTATTTTGTAATTACAGTTTGTCCCCAAAACTACAGGCAGTCTGTATGAAATTAAACTTACTTAGACACCTTTCTCTTATCATATCCTAACCAACATATAGAATACTGGAAACTGAAATAAAACATCCTTAGTACAATGATTAATTCATCCACTAGTCATTTTGGGGGGGTACTGGTGAAAGCCATTCCTGAATATTTTCTTTAATGCAATATTTCTGTAAAACCTAATATTGCCTTCCTATATGTGAATTTTTGAGGTAAATTCCTTTTTTATTACAATATCCATTTGCAAGAGAAGAAAAACATTTATAATTTATTTAGGCAACGTAATGCCACAAACGAAACTTCTAAGTGCCACACAATTTTAAGGAACTGCTTTTAAAAATCCTGATAGAATCACACAGTTAACTCACATTCAAGACAAATTATGGGATCCCTACAAAAAACCGCAGTGTTCAGAAAAACAGACTGTGCTTAAAGGGTAAAATTTGACACGAAGTAGAAACACCTTCAAGAGTACAAAACAAAACTCATGAAGTCCAATTCAACTATAAATTGAACTACAATTAATTTAACTGAATAAATAATTAAAAGGAGAAACTGCACACATCAGGCAGCTGACAACAGACATGCCACAGTACAGCTGACTACAGAAGGGAGAGACTTTGGAGAAGACAAAGACCACTTAGTGACTGCCCAGTTTTTACATAAAGTGTGTAACTTCCCTTTTGGATTATCTGAGATTAAGGAAACCAGTTCTTATATTTCCTAGGCACCTGTTACAATCACGATTTGTTTCCAAGCCTGATGTCATACATTTTCTCAAAGTTAGCATCAGGGCACCAAAGTACCATCAGGTTTAAGGGGCAGGAGGACCTGGAGGTGGCAGTGCCTTCACAAGGAAGAAACATCCCACGGAAGAGCTCACACACTGCTATGCAGGCAGCCCGAATCACAACCCTGCTTGGCACCTTTGTCCTACTAAGAACGACCTAGCACCTTGTAAACTGGCACTGTGCCACTCTGACAGATGGACTGAAGTGTAGGCAGCCAAGAGACTATGTATAAGCATCAAATATGTTTTTTGAGAGCAGGACTTCCAGCCAGGAATGTTAAAACAGCTGTCCACATTGAGCTTGCATGCCTACACTTAAGAGGATATGCTATTGCCACTCAAGCCCTGAGCTGGATTAACTTGGAAAATAAATAAGATAGCTACCACAGCCACATAAGGTGAGTTTTTGCAGAATCAGGATTAGTGATACTCAGGGGGACTTTATTGACCTACTATTAGTGGGCACAGTCGCAGGGTCAAAAAGCTCTTCTGTTCTGCAGCTCAGAGGAACATTTATCAGGAGCATGCTTACATACATATATATATATTTTTTTTCTTTGGAAGAAAAACTTAGAATGCAATACCAGCATGATCACAAACAAACACGTTAGTGACCTTCTATTTGTGTTAGAGGATACTTTTTTTATGAATTGTCCTCAGACACTTGTACCTGTGTGACTGGGATCTGTTTCACTGGGCTTTCTTCACATTTCAGAACTTAACTCCCAACGGCCCATGCCAAGGTTTTTTGTTAGCTCATGCCTACACGCATACATACATTTTACATTTTAACATGACTTGCATAGTTTTTCCCAGTAATAAAATCATACCGCCTGGAGAAACAGGCATTGCATAACACAGGATGTGAGGTGGCTGGCCTGCAAAGCCATGCCCTGTCCACCTCTATCCCACTCATGCAACTGGCTGGTCTGTCCGCTGCCCACAAATACCTCTCCTCTAGGACACAAAACATTCCAAACCACTGAGAAGTTCCAACAAAAACAGGTTTGCTCACATCAACGTGCCAAACAAACAACATGCCCTTTTTCCTTTTCTCCCACAAACTCAGGTTTTACTCTTGCCCCTCAAAAAGTCACTGGCCTAAGTCTGAAGTGAGGAAAATATTCAAACACTAACAAGTTAAAGGTTTCCTCAGAATTCCACACTATTTAAAAAAGATAATACCAAGATTTCCAACAGCAGGCAACATTCCTTCTAGCCCTGAGTAGCTTAAAGACTGAAAGGAAGCGATGGTACATTTTACTCAGTGTTTAAACATGCTTTGTGTTCATTTTAATTCTCCCTGTGGTCAAAAGCAAATCACTGGCATAAATTTTTCATGTACACGGTAGGTGAGTAAGTCATCTTTACTCTTCTGAATCACTAAAAATGAACTTCAGCTCACAAGGGTTACTCCCAGTATAGATCAAAGCTGTCTTCATTGCCTGGCGGGTACAGGGTCATACACAGTCTACCAACAGCTGCTGGTGTCTTTTACCTTTGTTAACTTTAAGGCTGATCTTTGCTGCAATTAAAAGTTACCTGAGTCACTTCATTACGATTTCCTGTGCTAGAAGCATGTCAGTGGTAGCTATCGTTCCTCCTGCACAGTGAGAACTTCCCTCCATTGACCTTGCTTCCCCCTCTGGTGAAGACTTCCTTCTCTCTCACATCCTTCACCTCTTTTGCCCTTCATTCCTCACCTACAGCCTTTCCATTTCCTTTCTTTTCCCATGTTTTTGAGGACTGTGTGAAATCACCTACTTGCAAGTTTCAGCTGCCTCTCTTCCAAACAACAATTACTAACCTCAGTAAGGAGATGCTTTGCTTTTTCATACTGCCAATAAAGTTGCTAGGTTAATCCAAATTTCCATACCACTTAACCTTTCTCAGAGGGGAGGAGAGAGGGAAAACACTTTGTCAAATACTTCATCAGGCAGATCAGCAATGCTGTAAATACCTCTCCCTTCTTCCGAAAACCAGCAGTGCCCCAGGCTTTCTCAAGGCACTGCACACAGACTGTGCATGGCTTTAAAACAGTTCAGGGAATAGTCAAATTGCCAAAGAACAGGTCATAAGGAATAAAAATACTGTTCTGGTTTACTACGTTTGCTTAATAAAGTAGTTACACACACATCCCCCAAAAGTATTACTTTCATGCATATCTACTTTACATGGAATTACTATCTCCAAAAGCCAAAGTAAATTGAACTGCAAATGGTAATGGTGAGCATCCAAAACCCCTTGGCAGCTCTCTCACCCCGTAAGTGCCTCTCTTTGTTTGAAAACAATTTGAAGGGGTACGTGAGGTTCATTTCCTACAGAAATTACGTAAGATACTAATGCAAAGTCAAAGAGCAGCCAATCTTATTACATATTACTCCAACCAACAAAAACGTGTGGTGTTTACTACCGTGGTCAAACTCCAATAAAGTTTGGTAACCAATTATCTGAGATACCCCTTCCTCCCACCTTGGAAGACTATCATGTGTCTGTACCTGCCGAATGCCATGAGAATATAATGTGCCAGACTGGACTCTTATTTTGTTGTGCCCTTTGAGCTTCCCCCATAAGAGCTTTTAACCCTGAAGGTTTTACTTGCTGCTTTATCAATGGGTTTTTAACTCCTTCTGAGATGCCAGATGATGTATCAATGCCAGTCAAAATTCATTGCTAGTTAAAGACAAATGCTGGAAAAGTAAAATGAAGCATGCCAAGAATCTCTCAAAGTGCTTACTGAACATTAACGTTATAGAGACTATAGGCTAAAGGCACTAACCAAAATTAAGAAATATACAGCTTCTGTATTAGCAAAAAAACTTGAAGGGGCATGGCAGATTTTAACACTTCTGAAAAAAGTCCCCGGCTAACGCCAAGTGCTGAAAAGCATTAGAGAAGCTGACCTTCTCTGCTGTCCCATTCCCCGTGCTGGAAGGTGTGAGCACAGCTGCTTTCAACCACACTGCATTAGCTTCACCTGTCCCTACTGTCCACCATCCCACAAAACATTTTCAAATAGGAAAGCATGGCAATTTTACTTCAAAAGTTCACTTCAGAAGGAAAGCTTAGCACAGACGTTGTTCAGTAGGACCAGGACAGAAGTACCCGCAACTGGTCCCTCTGAGAGATCTCAGGTTCAGCATTCGAAGCACCCTGGTACTTAGATGCCTTACCTAGGTAAAGCGAGGCGTTTTCTTTCTTGACATTGTCATCTAAGTAGGTTGGTCCCAAGGTATAGATGGGTGTCGAGCCCATGCCAATGAGGATTTGGGCACAAATGAATAAAGCTACATAGAGAGAATGGTCATTTCCGCCAGAGTCCTTGAAACAGGCTGGCGAGTCCCACTGCTCTTTGGCGGTGACATTGCCAGCCACGCACAAGCCCTCGTTAGTGACGGAGGAGTTCAGTTCCTGAATCTGGTACGGCGGAGAGATGAAGTGAGGTAAGGAGAAAAGCGAAGCCCCCAGGGCGATGAAAAGCCCCCCTACAGCCAGCCAGAGCGGCCTCCGCCCGCGCCCCCCGAAGTAGCTGATGAAGACCACCACCACCAGGCTCCCGATGTCGAAGCAGCTGACCAGCAGCCCCGACTCCGAGCTCTTGAGGCTGTATCTCCGCTCGATGGTGGTGATGACGCTGCTCAGGTAGCCGGAGACCATGAGGGACTGGATGAAGGTCAGGAAGCACATGCACACCAGGAAGAAGCGCGAGTCCGCCAGCACTGCCCGCAGGCACTCTCTGCCCGGGGGGCCCGCCAGCAGCAACGCCGGTGGCGGCGGCAGCAGCAGCAGCCGGGGGGCCGGGGACACCCCTCGGCCGGGCGCCGCCGGCTGGCCAAGCTCTGTCCCTCGGGGGAAGCTCCCGCTGCCGGCGCCGAGCGGCTGGGCAACCCCGGCCACGGCGGCGGCGCCCCCGCCCCGCTCGGCCTCGGGAGCCGGTCCCGCCGCGGGGCCCGGGCCGCCGCCGCCGCCCCCCCCGGCCGCCAGGGGGGAGCCGAGCGCGGGCAGACTGCGGCACCGCGGCGCCTCCGCCCGGCCCCCCGCCGCCGGCCGCTCCGCCCCGGGGCGCCGCTGCGCCGGGGTCCCCGCCGAGGCCATGCTGGGTCCGGCGGTGGCCTCAGAGGAGCCTGGCCGGCTCCATCGCCGCCGTGCGTCGAGCGCGCTGAGGGGCCCGGCGGGCGCGCAGCATAGCGAGGAGGGGAGGAGGCAGGGGAGGGGGGTGGCCCTAGCCGCGGCCGCCGGCCGGCCCGCCGCACGTGTCAGCCGAAGTCCTTTGTGGCTCCATCCACCCTCAGTCTCGCTCGAGGGGCCGCCCGCCCGCCGGGGCGCCCGCGCTGCCGGCGGCTCCCGCTCCCAGCCGCCGCATGCCCCCGCCGCCGCGCTCAGCAGCCGCCCGCCGGGGCTCCGCGGACAGCCCGCCCGCCGCGGGGCAGCGCCGCCCGCTCCGCCGCCCGCATCCTCCGCTCTCCTCGCCGCCGACGCTGGTGACAGAGCTCCGGGGGGTTGCTGCCGATCTGCGGGGTGGAGAGCAAGCACGGGAGGTCAGCGGCGCCGGTCCCACCGGTCCCGTCCCCCCGCCGCCCCGGGCTCTGCCCGCCCGACCCCGCGGTCTGCACTGAGCTCCGGGGAGCGCCTGTCGTCCCCGTCCCCGCGGGGGTGGATCACGGCAGCGCCCCGGGAACCGCGCGTCCTTGGGGACAGCACATGGATTTACATAAGAGCTGGGGCGGCCTCGGACAGAGCGCGACCCTTTTATTTGGCGCCGGATGCGACAGCCAAAGGTCGCCGTGCCAAGGCTTTTATTTTCCAGCCTAAAAATAAATGCGCTGAAATAAATACTCCGCTACAACTCGGCGGGGCTGAGGGAAAGGTAACAAAGCCGGAGCCGGGCAGCGGCGGCGGGCACCCCAGGAGCCAGCACCCAGGCACCGACCTCGCTGCCCCAGCTCCCGCGGGTGCCCTCCGGGACCGCGGACACCCGGGACCGCCGAGCGCAGAGCAGTGCCCAGACATCCCTACCCCGGCAGCGGAACACGCCTTTTGCCTCCTTTGTCCGCTTTTGTCTCTCCGCCGCCTCCTGCTCGTTGCGGCCGCGCGGAGGGGCGGGCGGGGGAAGCAGCGGCACCCGGGCAACCGCGCCCCGCCGGCGGATCCCTCCCCACCGGCAGCGGGTGGGCAGCGGGCTGGGCGGCGGGGCGCTTCGGGATCCTTCTGCCCGGCAGCCGCGAAGGAGAACGACGGGGCTACTCACCGAGCGTGCGGCGCGGCGCGGGGGGCGGCCGGCCCGGGCCCTGCGCCCCCGCCCCGCCCGTCACCCAACGCCGGGTCCCCCCGGGCCGCCTCCCCCCCCGGGCGGCGCGGCGGAGCGCAGGCGCGCCCGCAGCAGCGCCGACCCGGGCGGTACCGCCGGGAGCTCCCGTGCCCTCCGACCTCCCCTCGCCCCCGCGCAGCGACCGGCCCCGGCCTCCCGCGACCTGCACCGACAGGGCAGAGCGGCGGCCCGCAGCAACCGGGCTACACCCTCTCGGCAAAGTCTCCACAGCCCTGGCGGGAGGGTGAGCCCGGCGGCGGCACACGCTTTGGGGGGGCTGCCCGGTCCGTGCCTTTGCTCACCCGGGGAGCTGCCGAGTGCTTGCAACTCGGCGCCCGTGGTTGAGGAAGTCCGCGGAGCACCACGGTTGGCAGCCCCGGGCGCTGTTTAGGATGCTTGGGATGGTGGTGCATCGCTTTGTGTAACAGGCAATGAAATATTCGGAAGACAGGACCTCAGTTACAGCGTCTGCTCAAAAGTGACAAGAAAGAACTAAGGGATGATTTTTTTAATTTTTATTTTAAGAAAAATAGATAGCCGGACCACCTGATGATCCTTTTTGTCCGGGGTCTTGTGTCCAATGTAAACCATCTCCAAAAGTGGGAAGCACGCGCAAAACCTGGAAAAAGTAGTTTGGAGGAGTTTCCTCCTCATATGGTTTCCTCCTAATCCCCTGCTCTCGGTTTGTGGAGTGTCTTGAATTACACTGGTTTGTTTTCCTCTGACGTTCCTTTTTCAAAGCCCTAGTACTGAGATGATAATCCTGCAAATTATTACATTTGTTGTGACTTGATAGAGGTTGAACCATTGAGGTATTCCTCTTTTAACCCAAAATTTTTCCATAAAATAATACCAAGGAATACAACAAAGAAGTATTATATTCTACACACTTCTGAATAACTAGTGCTTTTCTGGCAGGGTAGAGGACTTAACTTTGATTTGTTTCCCCTCCTTAAAAAAAAAATAATGTTTAAGACTGACTTACCACATTTGTTTACTTATTTATAATCTTGATCAATAACATAGTCTCATAGGATACCATTTTCAAATTTTATCAAGCTATTATCAAGAAGTATTTTGCTATCTCTTTCTACTTGCTTGTAACTCAAACAGCTCAAACTCAACACAGCCAAAACAATAGGGTTTTTTCCCCTTGGTTTTCAACCACATTTCTCCTGTCAATAAGGTGCCCCAAGTTAAATGCTTGACTAGGCCTGTAGTTGTAGTATTTTCTTCAATTAAGTTATGTTTTCAAGGATTCTTGAAAAACTCTTCTCAATAATTCCTTCTTTGTACATAAGGTCCTTAACACAGTTTCTTCTATTTTATCATCCCACAGCTTGTTGTTACTGCAGCTCTTCTCTCCTTCTTCTTCCACTGTCAGTCCCCCATGGCCACAGCTTCCTTCAGTGCAGCTCTGGCACTTACCTCAGTGCTCAGTAAGCTGAATAAACTCACTGAGGCAGCAGAAAACCAATCCAAGAAAAAAAAAAAGAAAACGAAAAACGTGTTTTGCCAGTTTTATGAGCTGATTCACTTCACCAAGGATATGAGCCCAAGAACTTGAAAAAAAAAATAAAGATGAAAAGAGAGAGAAGGTCCATAGGGAAAGAGGAAGAGAGAATAAACCACCTGAACAAGGACAAGCTTTTAATTCAGCTCAGTCATCTCACTGAGCCATCCCTAAGAATGTACGTGTAATTCACCTGGTAGGCAGTATCCCATTAAACTTCAGTAACTCCATTGCACCTGAACTAGTACATGAACCAGTAACTGCACTTTGTAAGTCTAATGGATCGTATATATGGCACCTCAGTGCTGGGTTCTGCCCTTGGTTCACAACAATCCCATGCAGCTCTACAGACCTGGGCCAGAGTGGCTGGAAAGCTGCCTGGCAGAAAAGGACCTGGGGTGCTGGTTGACAGCTGGCAAAACATGATTGGGCAGTGTGCCCAGGTGTCCGAGAAGGCCAATGGCATCCTGGCTTGTATCAGGAATAGTGTGGCCAGCAGGACCAGGGCAGTGATCATCTTACTGTATTCAGCCAGGTGAGACCACACCTCGAGTACTGTGTCTGGTTCTGGGCCCCTCACTACAAGAAGGACATTGAGGTGCTGGAGTGTGTCCAGAGAAGGGCAACAGATGTGGTGAAGGGTCTGGAGCACAAGTCTTATGAGAAGCAGCTGAAGGAGCTGGCAGTGTTCAGCCTGGAGAAAAGGAGGCTTAGGGGAGACCTTATCACTCTACAACTACCTGAAAGGAGGCTGTAGCCAGGTGGGGGTGGTCTCTTCACCTGAGTAAGAAGTGATAGGATGAGAGGAAATAGCCTCAAGTTGCACAAGGGGAGGTTTAGGTTAGATATTATGAAAAATTTCTTTGCCAAAAGGATTGTCAAGCATTGGAATAGACTGCCTGGGGAAGTGGTGGAGACACTGTTCCTGGAGGTATTTAAAAGACATGTAGGTGTGGCATTTTGGGACATAGTTTCGTGACGGACTTGGCGGTGCTGGGTTAACGGTTGGACTCGATAATCTTAAAGGTCTTTTCCAACCTCAACAATTCTATGATTCTATGATTTTTACATCAGCTTTAGAGTCTTTTTCTATGACAGGGATTCCTAACCATTGTTGTATAAAACCAACAACAATTTTCATGAGATTGCAGAATAACAATAGATACACCAAAGTATTCTCCAATCCCATGGGAAAATATAAGGGCACAGCATTCCCAGCCTTCACAACATTTGCAAACAGTACAGCCTGTAAAGAGGCACAATTTCAATTCTTTCCACAATGGCAAAGCTGTCAAGAGATAAAATTATTCTTAGGACTACATGAAGATGTTTGTTTTGGGAAGTTATTCTAGTTGACTACAGCTTCTAAAATGCTTGACTTCCCTGCTTACTTTTGGATCTGAATAATGGGTTAGCTGAGCAAAGGGAGTATTTGTAGTCTGCAGTTGGTATGAGCATCCTGCACCTTATTTATCACTCTCTTCACTTGACAAGTTGATTACAGAGGGTGCAACAAGGGTACCCAAGTTCACAATAAAATACAAAATATAAGACTTACTATGCAAACCTTCTGCTTTTAAAGCTTCACCACAGTGAATTTAAAGTACATGGTATCCCTCAAGCATGAAGCAATCAATTGGTGTTGCAAACCAGTATGTTTATGTCTACAACTGCAAAAGAGCATAGTTCCCAATTTGCCAGATTAAGGACATGGGCTGACATCCTATTTTTGATTTAGCTGTGTTAATGAAAGGCATCAAGTCAGGACTACTGAAATCAGGCCCTTCATCTTAAGAGTTCCTAAGTTTTTGGCTGACAACCTCCATCCCTCATGGGCTGCCCCTGCTGCAGTGGTGAGCAGCTGCACAGCCCTCTTGGCTGCTGTTCTTTGAGGGACACAACCTCCTGGCAGAGAAATGGTAACCATCAGCAGAGAGGAAGAGCAGGACCTTAACTCACGGCTTGGTCTCATGAGCTGATCAGTTTCAGAAGAGGAGGTAACAGAGCTACCAAGGTGCCATCTTTTTAAGGTCACACTTTAGTTGGTGGTAATTTTGAGGCTTTACATGTCCTTGCTATTTCAGGGAGCTGGTGATGTCCAATGAAGTACCTCAGCCTAATCTATTTCAGGCCACAAAGAGAGGAAAGAACTCAGCTGAAGGGTAGCATGAGTTTATAGCTCTGCTTTTCCTTCAGTTTTCACTTGCCATGAATGCAATAAATCAACACCCTTGTCTTCCTTCCCCTTCTCCCTTACACTGCTGTCATTTTTGG